TGTAACCCTATGTAAACATGTTAGAACTGTTTTGAGAAGAGTCATTAGTATTGTGAGGGATATATGTGGAAGATGATGTTAATGTGAGAAAAAGGACTATAAGGATGTGGTTTGGAAAAATACTGGTCAGTGTTTTCTGTATGTCCAGGAAAAAAAACATCGGGAAGCTGCCATCCAAAGACTCTAGTGTTTCGGGGACCCCTCTTACATTGTACGTGGACTCAGAGACATATGGACAGCGCTTGGGGACCCTGAATCAGGACTAATGTGATGGCAGAACAATAAAGTTGCAAAAGACTGACCTAAGAGATGTGGAATTGCTCGGAGTACGGAGTCCACATGAGGACGCAGCAAAGGACTTAATGGATGTGTTGCCTAGATTTGCTGAAGGAATGTTCTGAATCATGTTAATCCATTTATACTTGCAAGTTGTGATATTCAGCTCTAGAGGTTTGACAGGACCAATGTTCCTCGTTACAAAGGTTTTGGTAATAGGAATGACAGAGCAGGACCTGATTGGCATTAATGGTCCTTTAAATAGGTGGTAACGACACATATTAGATTCAAAACAGAGATCTCTTGTTCAGATTGGCCGAGAATGGGATTTCTCTGAGGGCTCCAGACGTTTTTCCCCGCCTTTTAGGACGGGTGGGTTTTTCGACTGGTGTGCCCTAAGCCGACCTGAAGGTCCCCTTCATCAATACATAAATTTGTGAGTTTGATAGACATGGATGTTTTCCATGGGTGAATTGATGAGATGTGTTCCTGAAGGAGACTTTTGGGAAGAGCTACAGAGTAGCCGGATTTGGTCTAATTAGTGAATAGGTTTAGTCTAGCATAGTCTAACACAGTTAAAATAATGTGCGCATAGGAGCTCTAAATAGGATCTTACTTAATTAGTTGAACCCGAAATTTCAGACCTAAACAAGAACAATCATTTAGAGTTGCTTATTAATTTTGTACACAAAGTAATTTCACTAGCTTTCATAATCGTTCACATTTTTCCTTTTATTCACTCATAAACATCACTTATACTCACAGGATATTTACAATATGAATATAAGATCTCTCTCAGCTGTTAATTAGATTGAAAACCTAATTAAAGGGGGGATATATGTGGAAGCGTAAAGCTCTGTTTAACTAGATCAAAAAGTGTTATTATTGTCTTTACCATAATAAAATGAACTCTGTGATAAATTCACTCTGAGTGGAGACATGCAAGCTGTCTGTCCGGAAAAACAGATTATATTAGAGAAAAGTTCTTGGCGAGAGGAATAATTAATGGGCTTGTTATTGCAGGAAATCTTGTGATATGCTGGCCCCTGCCAGGTCAATTTGACCTGAGAGGTTGCATCCAGATAAGTGATGAAATTGTTAGTGTAAAACTGTCACGTACGCCAATTTGATGTTTTCCAGATGTTTGGCTAAATGTGTATTCCCGGAAAAAGTAGAGAAAAGCAATGTTGAAGGTGCCAAGAAGGTTTACGTAAATGAGTATGATGATGTCAATTGGTCAGGATGCAATACAATACACACCAATGCTTTGTATCTGTATAAAAACCGCCCCGTAAAGACTGAACAAGAGGGAGACTTCTGGAATTTTTGATGAAGATGATTCTGTGCGCTTTTTGAAGAATAAAGTTCCCTCTCGTGAGGATTGTTTTAAGAGAGAATATTTCTGAGTTTTGTTTTAATTATTTTAGCTCAGTGATCAGACCGCCCGCTCCTAAATTACACAATGGGCTGTCATCACCACCAACCAAAGGTCTCCTGATGTTTTTGTAAAATCCTCAAAACAATCCTGTAACTTCAATATATTAATATTCTGAAATTCACGTTTGAGATTGACCTGAGTCATGTTTTGTGGAGTTATTTAGGCTAGATTGTACTTGATGAGTCACAATACGAAGCCCAAATGTTAGAATAAGAAAGAAGCAAACAAGAATAATTAATGTTTCCATTCACAGAAGTTAGTATAAGCACAAAGACACTTAGGATTTTAACCCCAAAATAGCGCTGCAGACTGCTCCATGCACCTTTATTACACAGAGCAAGCTAAATGTGCGATACATGCCTGTGGAGCTCATATTCTTGGAACATGGGTTGACATGGGACTGTACAGTATGGTTACAAGAACTCTCAGTCACAATCAGATAAAACAACACATGACAGGCACACTCTTGATGTTTGACTAAATGGCTTGTTGTCATGGAGAATTTTAGTAAGGAGTTTTTTGTTTTGTTTTGTTTTGCCAAGGGTTTCAGAACATCAGGAAAAATTTTATCCATTACAATAAGCCCACCTTTCTTTCTCCCGTTTCTTTCTCTTTACAATTAAGCAGTGTCCCCACTAACCTGTTGGGTTTAGCATCTCAGCCACTAAATTCCCATCAGGTGTTGGCTTTAAGTGCAGTTAGAGTACATCCAATTAGCCAAATATAGAATATAAACTAATATAGATATAAGTGTCCCAGACCACCTTCTAAGATGGTCTAAGAAAGTTTGTTCACACTTTTACTTAAGTTACAATGTGTGATCAGATCACACTGGAAGGATGTTAGTGCCAGGTCTAAACAGGGTCACTTTTTTCCGCCAAAGTGGTTGCGATGTTAGGTGAAGGCTTTTGTTTGGGAACCGTTTTTTACTGCTTTAATTTTCCACATTAATGGAGATAACATGAAGTCACATCTTAGTTATATAAACATCTCTTCTAGAACATGTTTGATCTACCCAGTAATGTGTTCTTTGGTGGAAGGCCAACGTGTGTTTAATACACATATATTAAGAGAGTTTGCCCAGCTTTAATTGTAAGCAGATGGTTAAAAATCCCCGTCCATTTGTTTCTATCAGAATCAGAATACCTGCTTAATCCATGCAGGGCCATGGAGAGGCACCCAGGATAGGTTGATAGTCCGTCACAGGGCATCACAGAAACACAAAACCATGCATGCACGCACTCTCATACCTAAGGCAATTACACTGGAAGTAAATGCATGTACCGGGAGAAAGCAGCAACTCCTAGAAGAAAGGGCACAGTCTACAATCGAACCCTGGACCTCCTGGTTCTATGGCAGACATGCTAACTACTGCTCCACCATTGTGTATGCAGTATTTATCTATTTATCAACTGAATCCATAAAATGCAATTTCCAGCTGCGTTTATAAAACATTCTTTAGCAGGTGATTGGATGACAATAATCATGCAATCATTAAGTTAGTATTTTTTCAAAAGCGTAAGCCCCTCCCCTCCAGATGGTTCTCACAGAACGCTTTTCAGATGTTTCTGTGTGAAAATCCCCTTAATATGTTAGGTCACCAGGTTTCACAAAGGTTGATGAACTACCAAACTATTCTATGGCCTAAGCAAACATTCATATACACACATGCACACTTATCTTTCAGAAAGCAAACTAAATTATCAGTACTTTACAATCTAACCTCCAGCTGCAAAACCCAGGTGGATTCATAATCTTGTTTAATGTGTGGTTGTCTTGGAGTGCTTCCTGTTTACTTGCCTTAATCTTTTCCTGCTGAAAGCAAACTTTGTTATGATATCAATATTTAAAGGAAACTGACAAAATGGGATGTCTGACTTTTACACGTCACAGTTAAAATTTAAAAACAGCATATTAACCCAGTGTGACATTAAAATGCCAAACAAATTCCATTTTAATTCTTTTAAGTATTTTTTCAAAAGATGGATATATGAGAATAGTGTGAAGGGTTTGTCCACCAGGAAGAGATGCTTATGAGAGTTGTCTAGCTATTCCAGTTTCAGTACTTAGATTCTTCCTGTTTTCTATATCGTATGTAAGCTGAAGATCCAAAGATACATTTGTGGATTTGTTTGAATGAAATACAGTCAGTGTGGGAAGACAGAAAGCTAAAATCACATAACTTTTGTTTTGTTGGGGTTTGCCTAGGACTTATCACAATTAACACAGTTCTTGAATTTTGCCATCAGTGAATACTAAGATGTAATTTGCATTTTGTGGTTGATAATCTTTCCTTTTATAGATTATTCTTGTGTTGAAATCAGGAGTTAACCTTAGCTCAGGTTGGCATGTGGTCCTTTAAGGTCTCATATTCCTTGCAAAACACATTTAGTCTTGGTGTTCTTGTCATTTGTATGTATTTGAATATATTTATTAAGGATGAACACACTGATTTTCTGAAGTGCTTGTGCTACATTTTTTTAAAAAGATTTTTCTTTATAACATCAAGAATAAAACTGTGCAAAAATGAGAAAGAAAATAAAACCCAATAGGAGAGATAAAAAAATGCACACGAAGGGCTGTAAATGTACATAAAAATCCCTCTTTCGCAGATTTAAGTCATGTTTCAGGTTTTGGTATCCAGAACATTATACCTGAAACTCTGTATATTTCCAATGTGGGGTCCATAACCAGAACATTATTTTAAATTACGTCTGCCAACACTATGCAGGTAATCCTTCCTACTGCAGAAGTATTGACTGACCTTATTTTTAACCACTGTGGGAGAGAAGCAATAAAAAACTATACGGAAGATTCTGTCAGAGCGGTTACACTTTGTGATGAATTTACATAAGTTATAAAGTCCATGGAAAGGTGTAAATGCTGCAAATTATGAAGGGTTTTTGCCAACACAGATTCTTTTTGTCTTTTTTGCTTTTGAAGTCAGAGTAAGGTAGAGGAGACTTCCGATTGACGCTTTCGATTTGGGAAACAGTTAAAGGGCAATTTCACCTCGTTTTTGAGCAACTTTAAGCTGCTCCAGCTCAAAAACTACAACACTTCAAACCTGGACTGGATTGTTCTACAGTGTACTAGCAGAATCCTATAAGCAAAATTTGGGATTTGTGAAAGCTTTATTTGATTTGTTAAAGTTTAATAAAGGATCGTATCGGTGCTTTTTCAGTTTCGTTTTTTTTTTTTTTTTTTTTTTCGGCACTAGAGGCCTTTATTTTTGATAGTAGGCAGACAGGAAGGAGGGGCAAAGAGAGGGGGAGACATTTGGCAAAGGTCACCGGGCCCGGGACTCGAACCCAAGACGGCTGCTTCGAGGACTGTAGCCTCTATATGCGGTCGCGCGCTAACCCCTACACCACCAGCGCCTACACTACATTAGAGCTGATCCTGCTCCAGAACTACAGTACTTGGACACTTCAAACCTAGATTAGATTGTTCTACACTAATAGCAAATAATGAGCATAACTTAAAGAAAACTCAAAACAGGCTAAAGGGTGTGTGTTTGTGGGTGTGTGGGTGGGTGCTTGTCAAACTTGTACAATATTTTTATTATTAATGCAGTTCATCAAGATTTTCTTGTATTTCAAAGATTTTTATGTTTGATTTTCATGCTCCCAGCTGCAACAGAATCTCCTTTCTCTCACTGCAAAAAAGGCATACAGCTATGGGTTTTTTCAGAAATAATTTTGTTCTTTGTTTTTACATGATTGTTTTTGATGCTCCTCTTTCCTCTTCTCTTACCTCACGTCCATCTGGTCACGCTCAGTTTGTTCCACTGCTTCAGCCCTGGTTAGCTTTCTGACCTTTTCCAAACCAGTTATTGATGCCTAAATTAGCCTTCATCACAAATGAAGTGTTAAAAAGCTTCTTAAAACAACCCAATAGTTACTGCCCAACACTTTGTTATCAACAGTTGTTGAAAACAAACTAAATAAACCATATTGAAAACAATTCATTTTACTTTCCACTAACATGTTTCATAATTTCAGACCCTGCTTCTCCTCACCTACTCCTGCTCTGAGCTACCATCTGTTTGTTGATAGGACCTCCGGACCGTAGGAAAAACTACTTTCTTTTTTGTGGCATGGGTGGCCTTTATTCATTAGTAGCCGGCAGAAAGAGAAGGGGAAGACATGCAGTAAATGGCTCCGGAGCTGAACTCAGAACAGCTTCATGAAGGACTAGAACCTTCCTGCTACGGTACACCTGCTCTACCACTGAGTTACTCATTTCTTCATGACTTTGCTTTGTATTATTGCTCCTGCATAATTCTCAGATATTTCTTGCTTTTTTTTTTTCTGTTGATTTAGTTAATTTAATAAAGTTTACCATTACACTTCTTGTAAATTCTGAAATAGAAAAATATCTGCAGACATGAGCTTAAAAAAAGGACTCAGTCGTGGGACTTGGTAGGTGGAAGACCTCGCCAAAGATTTGGAGGACTACACAAAATATGAGTCACAGATGTCTTTTCGTCTGCTCTGTGAGCAATAAGACGTCCATTTGCCATTTTTATGATTTATTGGCATTAAAATGAATAATTTGTTGGTAAAACTTTTCTCTCCCTCTGCAGTTGTTTGTGTGGCCAGCTGGTCACATAGACTGTATGGGCTCACTACATTCAAGGCCAGATTTCTCTTTCAAAACTCCGCTGCAGTTCTCGTGACTAGTTTGCTAGGTTGATTAAATGATGCAACAGCAACAACCTCCTCGCCCCCCAAACCTGTTCAGTAAATGCATCAGATGGTACAAAGTCATCTTATTTTAATGTAGAATTGTTTTGTGAAAATGGCTACAAGCTGCTTTATTGAGGCTGTTGGCATATCATTTTTCATAAATCCACTAGCCACTTAACAGGCTTCAATTAAAAAACATTTAAAAATAGACAGTGACATAAATGACAGTGACATAATTTCATGAAAAATATTATAATCTTAAAATATGCGAGGCAATTGGATAGCCTGATTAAATTTTAATCACCTGTTATTATATCAAAGCTTTTTTACAAAGTTACTAGCCTTTAACACCTTAATGCTCAAAGATACATGTAAACAAAAGTCTAACTTACTTCAGCTACAAGAGCTTCCACCAGACATCCAAGTGCAATTCGTAAAGCTTGACAGTCTGAACCACTTGGGAATGGTGAGAGTATGAGTAAAATGATTGTAGGAGCATAATATTAATGCTGTATGGTAATGTAACATGGTGTAAACATGTCTGGAGTAAACATGTCTGTCTGACTTTAAGTTATAATTTCGGAGTCAGAGTCGGGTGCCCTTTATTAGGGGCCATCCAGTCTCTGTACAAGTGGAGCAAGAGTTTGGTCCGGATTGCCGACACTAAGTCGGACCTGTTCCTGGTGCATGTTGGACTCCGGCAGGGCTGCCCTTTGTCACCAGTCCTGTTCATAACTTTTATGGACAGGATTTCTAGGCACAGCCAAGGGCCGGTGGGGGTCTGGTTTGGGCACCAGTGGATTTTGTCTCTTCTTCTTGCGGATGACGTGGTCCTGCTGGCCCCCTCTAGACAGGATCTACAGCATGCGCTGGGGCGGTTCACAGCCGAGTGTGAAGCAGCTGGGATGAAGATCAGCTCCTCCAAGTCCGAGGCCATGGTTCTCGACCGGAAAAGGGTGGCTTGTCCTCTTCAGGTTGG